AAGGGTGGCGGGGCGGCCGTCGTCGGGGGCGTCACCGCAGACGGGGAGAAGAAGGGCGAGGAGAGTGGGCCGCCGGAACTCGGGGGGAACGATGAGAAGGACGAGTATCCGGAAGAGAGGGGGGCCGTGTGTGCGACGGCGCGGAGAGGGGTGGTCGAGTCCCTTCTCGCCAGAGGCGAAGAAGGGAAGGAAGACACGGTCGGCAAGGTGCCGAAGGGGACGAGGGGTGGTGACGAGACCGACGAGGAGGAGGGAGTCTGCTGGCGTCAGCGGGGTTCGAGACCTGTGAAGGTGCTGAAGACGCCAAGCGAACTCACCATTCTTTTTTGAGGGGGCCGAGTCGCCTCTGAAGCCTGCGGCGGGGAAAGCGACCCGCGCGGCCGCGCACGCTTGCCCAGAAGCTCCTGGTCGTCCTCAGACTCGGAGTAGAACTCGTCGACGTGTCCATACGCCAGGCAGAAGTCCTCATGGCGGGGGTCGCCAGAGATCTCTGAAAGCTCGGACATATTGACGGACGGTGTTGACGGTGTAGTACTAGTTGGAGAAGAAATGAGAGAGAGGGAAGTTGTGTAGTTGGCTTTTAAAGGTAGAACGATGATGGCCATGGTTGAGCTGGCGACGTGTTCGTGGAGGCGGAAGCATCCCATCGAAGCATGCGGTGTACTGCACAGCACGCCATCGAAAGAGGGCGCAGAGAGAAGCATGCCGCGTTCCCTGGCGTGCATGGCGTGACGGGTGATCGAGTCCTTGTCCTCGTTGCTCGTAGGATCGCAGGGGCTCAGTCTATACAGTCTAGTGTGTGCATGTGTGTGGTCCAGGCCACGAAAGATGAGCGGCCAGTCAATTGCCACACAACTGCAAAAGCTCGGACAGCCTGCCTCCCGCCTGGGGCCCCACCATTTGCATCTCAGATCGCAGTGCCATCGGCACACCTTTCTACGCACATTCGTAAGAGTTGAGGAAAATGGAAATGGACAGCTGCATGCTGCAACGAGGCTCGAGGCAGTGACGCTCGAGGCAACGAGGTGATCGAAGACTGGCCTGGGACACTGATTTCCAACAGGAAGCTGTCCCGATTTTGGATTATCCTCTAAGAAGGCCAAGAATTCAAGAAGTGTCGAGCAAGTTTAGATCAAGCACGGTCTCACATGACCAAGTCGTTTCTACTGCAGCCGCCTCGGAGCAAGAGCGGTATTCTCCAAAGACACCACGCCACCACTCTCTGCAGTCGATCGTTTAATCAGGTCCGGTACTGCCTTCCTCTGGTCAGAGACGGTCAGGAGGCAGAGGATGGTGGAGGTGAACAAAGCTCTGGTGGCAAACGCTGTCCAGGCACAATCGTGTCTTCACGTGAGATGCACGCGAGGGTGGAGGTTAATGGGACGACACGTTCCCTCAGACCCCGCGTCTTTTCCACGCCTGGAAGTCTTTACTTGTACATTCTTGTCCACATCTCCTCTGCAGGAAATCGTACAGACCCGCTCAACGCCCAACGACAATCGACTAGGAGCTCCAACGAACTCTGAACTAGTTTCCCGCTCGCGGAAAGGACGAAGCCGTTATTCACCTGCCTTCAAAGTCGCAGCGTACATTCGGCTGATCGGCGATATTCGCGCAATGTCTGCGGCCGCCTCCGCTGCCGCCTCCGCCGGCGCTACGGCACTGCCGTCCCCGAGCAAACTGAAGCAACGACCCCGACACTCATCCCCAAGTGACGAGTCCGTTGTCTCCAGCGGCGTAACGACTGAGCTCGATTCGGCCTCCGCGTCGACGCCTTCAACGCCCACGTCCGCGAGGAATGACGAGCCCGAGCCGGGCAAGGCGGCGGCGGGGCAGGGCGAAGACTTCCTGTGGATGTACACGGAGGAGCCGCATCGGAGTCGGCGCATGGCGATCTTGAAAACTCATCCGGAGGTACGTACTGGAGTGTAGTGCGCCGCGTTCGTGATCGTCCTTGGCCTGTGGCCCGTCTCCTCGAAGAATGACGAGAGCGCTCGGCCGTACTCCCATCACGCCGAGCTTCTTTGCCCTCCTTGCAGCTGACATACAGGTGCGCAAGCTCATGGGTCCGACCAAGTGGACGGCAGTGATTGCGCTCTCGGTGCTGGCACTGCAGATCTCGCTCGCGCTCTACCTGCGCCGCTTCCCGACGCTGTCGTGGCAAACCCTTCTCACTGCATACGTCGTCGGCGGAACGGCGAACCAGAACACCTTCCTCGCGATCCACGAGATCACGCACAACCTCGCCTTCAAGAGCATCAAGCTGAACAAGGCGCTGGCGATCGTCGTCAACTGCGCGATCGCAGTCCCCTACGCCATGGCGTTCAAGGGGTACCACATCGAGCACCACAAGTTCCTCGGCGAGGACGGCATCGACACGGACCTGCCGTCGCGCCTGGAAGCCGTGATCCTCAACAATGTGGCGGGCAAGACGTTCTTTGCCACGTTCCAGCTGCTGTTCTACGCGCTCCGACCAGGCTTCATCCGTTCCCAACGCCCGACATACTGGCACTTCATCAACCTCGTCACGGTACTGTCCTTTGACGCGCTGCTCGTCAAGTTCTTCGGCTGGCGGCCGGTATTCTATCTCCTTCTCTCGAGCTTCTTCGCCGGGAGCCTGCACCCGTGTGCGGCGCACTTCATCGCAGAGCACTACCTCCTCTCCCGCCCCGACCCGGACAGCGTGCAGCACCTCGCCCTCGAGACGACGTCGTACTACGGCCCCCTCAATGTCCTCACGTACAACGTCGGGTATCACAACGAGCACCACGACTTCCCCTCCGTTCCGTGGACGCGTCTGCCTGCTCTGCGCGCCATGGCGCCAGAGTTCTACGACACGCTCCCGTACCACACGTCATGGCCGCTTGTTACTTGGAAGTTTATCACGGACCCCAAGGTCGGCATGTGGTCTCGTGCCAAGAGGGAGGGGCGAGGCGAGAGGATCGATGAGCACGTCTGGCATGGGCTCTACGAGAAAAAGGGCGAGGAGACCGAGGACCCCTTCGTCGAGGAGGAGGAGATGAGGAGGGAGATGGCCGAGGCGGTCGAGATTGGGTACGCTAGTGATTGCGAGTAACGACGAGGAGCGAGTCCGCTCGCTACGAGCTGGTTCACACCGGTGAACTCAGCGACACGGTGAGCGGACAGTGCGTGAACAGCGGTGGATGGGAGTACGTTCCCGCTGAGACGATCAGTGTGCGACTGCGTCGCGTAGATGGCAACGAAATCATAGATTAGAGCTAGGACATTACACATGCATGTTTGTGATATAGTACAGAACGTAGAGACGCCGCGCCACAAGAGGCGCTGGCGAGCACGACGGTGCCTCCCTCTCCAACCTCCCAACTCTATGATGATCGCCTCCGGCCTTCCCCCCTCATTGAGAGAATGTCTCTGAGGGCTGGAGCGCACACGCAGCTGGCCGGGCACGAACGAAGCCGTAGACTGACCAGCACTCCCGAGCAAGCGCACGCTTACGCGCGGTCGAGGTAGTCGAGGCCCCTCGTCATGACCTCGAGGTCGACCTTGCCCTCCTCGTCAATGAGGAGCTTCTCGGCCGTCTCCCCCCCGCCCTCGACCCACTCGTACGGCACCCAGTCCTCCCCCTGCTCTCGCCCAGCCATGGCCCACATGCGATTCCTGAAGTCCTTCAGACTTCCACTGCCATCGCTCCTCGGGTCGTCGAGCGCCTTGGGCGCCGGCGCCTCGGGCGGGTCGAGGTATCCGAGCTCGGTGCGGAACTGCATGACCTTCGAGATCGGGTGCAGGTGGAGGGCGCCGTCGTGCACAATGCCCGAGAAGTAGGACGTGGCCGAGCTGATGGGCACGGGCTCGGAGCGGAGGCGCATCTTGTCGCCCCACACTGCTGGCGCCTTGGGCGTCTTGGCCACAGAGGCGGCGGTGGGCTTCTTCGATCGAGAAGTCGTCGGCGCAGGAGTCGAAGCGGCACTAGCGCTCGCGCTCCCGGCCGGGGCGGGGACGAAGGTGAGTTCCTTGGCACGCTCATCGCGCCACACCTGGGGTCAGCTTGTCTTCCAGAAATACAGAAAGAGGAGCTTTGCGAGCAAGTGGGGCGGAATGGTTCCGAGAGGCAGAGGAGCGAGGCGTGGGAGAACGTCCTTCCCCCATCCGACCTTCCCTCTCTGCCACCGGCCACCGGCATCGGTAGCCTCGCAGCCCCACTTGTTCGCCGAACATACCTTTGGATCAGCATCAATGGGCACCTCGACATCAACCCTTCCACTCTGCTCCTTGACCCTCGCCGTGATCTTCTTCCCTCGCTCCTCGGCCCAAGTCGGCACGCGGAGATTACGGTGTTGCAAGGGGTACTGGAACTGCGTCAGGGACGGCGCGAGCGAGTGGTGCAGGTAGATCGGAAGCGTGGCCACAATCTCGTCATCCTCTTCGTCCTCATCGGCTTCGCGCGAGGATGGGGGCTTGAGGAGGTCGGAAGGAAGGCGGTACTCGCCCCCGGAGGTGCTGGCGGAGGGGGGAAGGGGTCCAATGCCGCTGTCCCGCGGCACGTTGCCCGCCTCGGCGGTCATGTCCGGTCCCGCGTACTCCTCTCCCTCGGGAGAGTTCAGGATGCTGTCGTTTACGACCTCGAGCGACATGGTGTCGTAGTCGCTGTCGAGCGTGTCTGCTGTCTGTTGTTGTCGAGTACCCTCAACGCGTCAACGCGCAAAATTCAGTGAACGGCGCAATGACGCACGGACGGAGCCAAACACACGCGACGACAGCATTGCGTCCACGTGACATCGCCACGGACACAGCGGCGACCTCCGCATTAGGAGGAGCACACGAAGGCCTCGAAAAGATGGACTGGGCCCAGACTTTGCGTTCATCTACACGAACGAGTGACATCGAGTTGGCTATATACACACACGGCGGGGGATCGAAGAAGCGGAAGCGCGGAAACGTCGCCATCATATTACACAGCTAGTAGAAGACTATAGTCCGTTACGTTGAGAGGGTGGTGGTGAGAGGAATGGAGATGTGGAATGGAATGGAATTGCGCGGATCAAGTCTATGATAGGGGTTGAGGCATGAGGCAGCTGCAAGCCGCCGCGGTTAACGACGATCTCCGATGGAGTCGTACCTGAATCTGGTTAGCCTTCCTTCTGTTACAAGATCTCGACGAGCCGGTGCCGAGGAGAAGCAGTGCTCCTCTATTGGGTGACTCACGTAGGAGGGATCTCGTTTCCACTCGCCTGCACCTCGTTGTACGCGCCGCCGTCAGTGTGCACCGTGACAGGTCCGCTGCTAGAGGCCTCTCCCGGGTTCTGGACGTGGAACTGCTGCTGCTCGCGCCACGCCTCCTGCTGCTTCGCGGTCATGCCAGTCGGGGCGGCAGACGGGAACGCGCTATGTCCCGCGCCTGCACCCGCGAAAGCAGCACCAGCACCGAGACCAGCGGCGCCGGCGCCGAGGCCAGCATAGCCGCCGGTGGAGCTCGTTGCGTGCGTCGACGGCGCGGCAGGGTTGTAGCCCTCCGACGAACCGCCATGGTAGTACTGCGACATCTCCGGGGAACCGGTCGAAGTCGCAGCAACTCCCTGCACGGGCTGGTACTCGTAAGGGTCAATGGCGTGAGGGGCCGCAGTGTCGCTGAGGTCGATGGGAGCATGGTTCTGGGCACGGGCAGGGTCGAACTGCGTAGTTAGCAACCGTGGCTGCGGGGAAGGAGGCAAAGCAGCACCCTGGACGACGGTACAAATCACAACGTCCGTTGCAAGAGAGAAAAAACTCACCATCATGTCGTCAAAGTCATCACGGTACGAGCGCTTGCGCTTGCGCATGATGAAGAAGATGAGACCGAGAATCAGAGCGAGACCGCAGACACCGCCGACAACACCACCAACAATGGCGCCGACGTTTGTGCCGCCACCGCTGTCCTTGCCGCCGCCAACAGTGGAGTTACCCGGGCTGCCGGACTGAATGACGGTTTGGGTGACGACGACCACGGAACCCTGGTCGTTCGTGCTCGTCTCATACCTGAAAAATATTAGTACATGCAGAGAAGACATGGCAGTAACTCACTTGAGGGACGTGTAGCCAGACTGGCTGCCACCCGTCGGCGTAGCACTGTTGCCAGCATTGTCGCTGCTGCCAGCGGCGCCGCCTCCATTGCCGGCGGGGTTGGAGGGCTGGGCACCTCCATCGCTGGAGCCAGGCTGCTGGCCACCCTGCGAGGGCTGGCCACCGGTGTTTCCGCCATTGTTGTTGTCGCCACCACCGGCAGAGGACGTAGGCGAAGGGTTGTTGCCGCCACCTCCTGGGTTGGCGGACGACTGTTCACCACCACCATTATTGCCGCCACCGTTGCCGGGGTTCGTGGTTGAGCCACCGTCACCTCCTGCAGAAGAGGTCGGCGGGTTCTCGGACGAAGTGGGCGGGGGCGCCTCAGAGGATGTCGGCTGAGCAGACGAGGTCGGGGCGGGAGTGGAGGAAGAGGGAGAGGGAGGCGCGGGGTCAGTGGTAGGCTGGGGCGCCGAGGTAGGAGCGTTCGAGGGAGATGCTTCGGCTGATGAGGGCGCAGAAGAGGGAGCAGTGTCAGCATTGGATGACGGCGGGGGTTGAGATGGTGACTCCATGATGACGACGATGGGGATGGAGGTCTGTTAAAGGGCGAGGGAAGGAAGCAATGCGAGGTGATGTGATCGCGCGTGGTCAAGTGTGACCACACTGATGATGTGCAGGCGCGATGGAATTATCCCGGCGTGCGTGTACGCATGCGCGAGTAGGGTGAGGATAGTATGTGGTTATCGATCAGACGAGATCAAACCATGGCACACATGAATGAATGCACAGTTGCAGCCCGGTCGAGCGAGAATGGTAGAGCGAAAGGAGCGACAAAGAGCAAAAGTGTAAACGAGGAAAACGACACTCACCCATGTTGCTTGGTCGCGCTTGTGCGGGGCTAGGCGATAGTCGAGAGCGTGTGTGAGTGAGCTGCTCGGGTGCGCAGTGAGGGGGGGACCTGGTGACCGCGGAGGATCGAGGATCGGGATCGAGGAACGGGGGCGGGGTCTGCGAGGTCTGGGTCTCGACTGGTGCGAATCGAATAGGGCTCGGGGCTGAACGACGCGGTGCGCGGAGAGTCCTTAACGTTCAAGTTCCAGAGTGGGTCGGGTGAAATGCAATGCAATGCAGGAACTTGGGTCCGAACTTTGTTGCTTGAGCGACCAACGGAAGGCAGGTGCGGTAGCGCAGAACTTGCAAACAGGGGCGACCGAGTGGACCAGGCAACGAGGGCGAGGAGGGATAAGAGGGCAGTCGTAAGTCGTTCCGGCTCGACTAAGGTATGCTGAGTCAAGATTCAGGCGATGTAGGGCGATGTACGATGTCCGTCTAGGATCTGGGTTTGAATGTTTGTTTTCGGGTCGAGATGGAGATTTGATGAATGCGGGGCTTCAGACAGAGAGGAAGCGACAAGATGGAGATGGATATGAATGAAGGAGTGGGCGATGGCGAAGTTTGATGTTGGGATGAGTAACGAGCGGCGGGAGAGAGAGTGCAGTGAAGAAGCTGGACGGTGGAGTGACCGAGCTTAGTTGGCTGGTGGCCGTTGGCTGCATAGCTTCAGTATACCGCTGTCCGCCGGTCGCCGGTCACTCGTAGGAGCAGGCAGGCTTCGCATGCGAGCAGGCGAGCTGGACGTCGGACGCACAATGCAGGATGCAGGGGTCAGGCCACAGGCCGCAGGCGCATAGGGATCTCCCCACCATGACCACCACCCCACAGGGTGATCTTCAGGCAAAGCCCCAGAGGGTCCAAGGCCTGGCTCGTGGCTCGAGCGACCTCTCCCTCACCTTCACCCGCTCACCACCCGAACCCAGTCCACCGCTCATGCAACAGTCTGCGCACGGTTCTCCCACTGTTCTCATCAAATGAAACGTTCACAACACCGCTGTGGTGACATGGCTGATACCCGTAAGTTTGGTAAGAGTATGCAAACACGGTGGATAAAACGAGGATGTAACCAAACATCACGGCCAAGTTCATCGCAGCGGCGATGTACACCCCAGTCGTGCGATTAGGACTGCGGAGGGGGTTGTGCACCGCCTTGAATACAATTTTTCTAATTCTCCGTGTATGCCGGATCCGTATCCGAGAGCCTCCTGACAGTCTGGCCTGCAACTGCAGCATGCAGCACTGCAGTGAGCACGCGAGTAACGTAATGGGCGTTGCTGGGCTTGACCCTAAATCTCGCCTGGGCGCCCTAGTCAGGCCTGGTCCCTGGGCAGCCATGCAGCGCCCTCCGCGGCCCTGCCGGAGTGTCTGCCCTGCGTGCACATCCTGCATCATCCGGGCCATCCGGTGGGGGCGGGAATCCTGCATCTGAAGATTCTAGACGGGGCTGGGCTGCTTAGACAGCCCACCCGACCTGAATTTTTCCTTGCGTCGCAATATCCCAAAGTACATGCATGATCCGGAAGCTCACTGCCGCGGTATGCGGAGCGGCGAAGCGGAGATGCTTGTCAAGTGGCGAGTCGCAAGCCTCTGAGCTCTGAGCCGCACAGTGGCCAACTGCCGCGTGTGGTGATGTGCCGTAGTGGTTGCGCACGGGCTATGTTGATAAGAGCGATAGCGCGCTGTCACGGTGCTGAGTGTGCTGAATACTGAGGCTGGCGCATCGGCACAATTTTTCACACTCTCGACACGAGCGGCCGACCGACGCGGAGACACGGGGAACGGGCGAGGAACGCGGGCAGCGCGGTCATACAGGCATGCAGTCATCAGACACCCGGCACGGGCACGCGAAGGTCGTGACGCGATCGGCCCAACGTCACGACCATTGCGACCAGGTGATTTCACCACTGAATCGCTCTTGGCGCCAGGCTGGAAATACGCCTGGGAGTTGCTTGGGTGCCACAAATTGGACAAGAGCGTCGACGCCGACCAGTGTGCCCATGTACCTCTCCACGTAGAACTAAGTCGACCTATCGGCCTGCGAATGCAACAGATACCCCGCGGTCAGCGGCGAAGAGGGCAGGAGGCCAGGAGGAACAGGAGACTGCAAGGGTTGGACGCAGGGGGCGCACGCCAGACCCTCTCTATGCAACGAGGGCATGCGTCACAGTCACAGCATCGCCCTAGCCAACAAAGTTCACCGTGGGAGACTAGCAAGCAGCCAGTGCACGTCCTTGAGCCCTCGACTTGGACGCATGGGAGCTAGAGAGGAGTCGCACCACAACGAGCAATGGACGGGCGCAAATGCGTTGCACGTGATCGGACAACACAGTGGGTGGCAAATGGACATGACCTCCACTTTGGGATCTCCACCCAAGATCCAGCGTCTTATGCTGGAGCTTGCTCTTCTCACTATCCGGCAATCTCGTTCATATCAAGCACTCTCGACAAGCGCTACGAACACAGAAGCTGGCATACAACTAACGATACCATTTGACTCACAACAGATTCGCTCAGCATGCTCTTCCTTAACAACTCGTTTTCTGTCGGCCCACAGGGGCGTGGTTCGCATCGGTGCAAGGATACCGTTCCGCTGGGAGCTCTCAGCGCAAGCAACTGCTCTGCGTGTCGAGGGAGGCACCCTTTTGATGGTCATGGCTCTCGACTAGTAATCCGTGCGGATAGCTGGCCAGCCTCGACGTCTCCCCACAGTGTAGGATCACGCGAGGACGCCGCGGCTGGGGAGTCTTTTGATGTGATTCCTGGTCGCTGCGTTTTGTGCTGAGGACGCGGGGAGTATATTACCTAATACGGTCCTCTGTTCACTCTGCAAATTGAATCTGAAACTCTTGATGGTACCGGTGCGAGCTCTTCAGGCGCAGGATGCGCCGTGAGGTGGTATGCAAGGTGCGCCTGCTCCCATTTGCTTGAAGACCACCTTGAAACGCCCACCTCGTCCACGCCTTGGGTGTCTTTGAGATGCAGCGGGATGACGAAGGGCGGAACGGCTGCCTTGCCTGCTGTCTGTGACATCTTTGCTAGGGTGATTGGAGCTTAGCAGTGCACACGTCAAGGCTAATCGTCGAGGGGGACGAGGAGATAGAAGCCATCGTTCGAGACCTCGGCCAGGCTGCTGTGGGTTAGACTTCGCTGGGGAATGACAGATGTGGCTGCGCCGCTGAATCAAGGTCTAATGATGGTGATGACTAATGGTCCAACTACTGATCCAACTCGACCATCGTCGACATCGGAGTCACAGTTCGATGGGGATGTTCAGTAGAGCATGCGAGCACCTTGCTGTCGACAATCTGTGGGCGACCACAGCAGTTCAAGTCCGCCACACGAGCTCTCAGTTCTCTCCGGCCTCCGAATCCGCGACTCTTAGTCCGCTGGGAGCTGGCAGATATGATTGTGTGGCCGAGTTGAGAGTCGAAACCCCCGTCCCACCTTATCTGACGGCGACAGTGGGGCCTTGTCCGTGGGAAGGGGTACGAGCATGATCTCGACAGTCTGCGGGCGGCCGGATCGGTTTAACATTCGCTGTGGGGACCCTCAATCCGATCTGCCATTCGATCGCGCGGCCATGGATCTTTTAGGAATGACGGACGGGGCTGCGCCGCCGAACCAGAAGCCGAGAGCTGGAGTTCCACCTCGTCGTCCAGCGACAGCGGAGCCACTGTTAGTGGAGGCAGAACAACATCGAGTCCAGACAGTTGGCGAGCGGCCGCAGCGGTCTATCGTAAGCACAGTTTGTTCGTACCGCTCGAGTCGACACTCTTGTCGACGGCGCGGAGGAGCGCAAAGAGCTCCGAGGATGAGTTCCTGTGGGGCGAAAGGAACAAGTCGCGGGGTTGTTTGGACATTCACAAGTGGGCGTTGGCTACCATGCGCCTGTCCCACACACCAAGGCCTCGCAAAGCCGCAGCCATTCCGAGTCGTTCTCATCACTGCTGTTGAGGCCAACGATCTAAACCGGGGTACCACGGAAAGTCGAACGCCACCGTGCAAACAAAATCGAATCACTCATTGCTCAACCCATATTGCTTGCAGGCTTTTGAAAGTTGCCCTAGCCATTCTCGACCAAGCAATGCGCTCATGCTGCAACTTTCATGTGGTTGCTCTGAACGACTGTGAAGTTATCTTCAATCGAAATTCGTTCGACTCTCGACTTTTGCTCCTACGGTGGGATCTGGCGTTCGACCGCCCGTGGTACCCCGGTTTAGACCACAGGAGCAAGGCGGCGAGGACAGACATCGACCGTTGAGGACGGACCTGGATATCCCGTTGCGAGGAGCTTAGTGCTGATACAGGTACTCATTACATTATCCACGTTAGAGGCAGCTGGAATTCACCATCACGTCTTGCCATCATGTAATGGTCCTCGCCGCCTCAGCGCTAGAGACGCCCGCCGACCTGCCGTTGGCTGGGCGTCCTCTTTTCATGCCAGCCAGTCTTCTGCAGATCTGAAGGAGAGGCTGATCCCTGGCGCCGGCAGCATGATTTTGGTTTTGACCGACCCCAAGCCAACCCCGAGCTAACCGCCTCAATGCGATGAACTTGATCATGATGTACGCTTGCCGAGGACGGAGGTCGGACGTTCACCGCTATAAGTAACTCCCGGGGACCTTCGCTGGGCCAAGGGCGACGTACGCATCTATCCCCCGCCTGCTTGGTGCGAGCTCGGCGAGTCACTCGATGGATACTCGTTGCGGGCCTGTCTTTTGGGGTTCGACGCCGTAGGTGACGCGGCCGGTAGGACGAGAGACTGGCCGTCAGAGGTTAGCATTCGACTGAGCTGCGTTGTAGTCCTTCAGTTATGGCGCCAAGCCCCCTTAATCACTTGTGAGATGAATGTCTGATACCTGGTTTCTGTACTTGCCAGCCAGAGATCGGTGTTGTGCCGTGTGTTATGCCCGGTGTAAAGTGACACTGGAGCCCTGGGTATGGGAAGGCCTCGACCGAGGGGGCGCAAGGAGGCGTCGGACCCCGCACTCTGTGCTCCACCTTCACATGTCGATCGATCTTGCTATCACTCTGTTCTGTATTCCGATGAGCTAACAACAGGTATTCAGGTCAGGTCAAGACGAAGTCAACGCAGGCCAGTCGTGGAGTCAATGGGGACGATGCTGAGACATTCGTTGCTCCCTTGCCCATCCAGCTACATGCGCACGTTCTGCTCATTGTGGATACCTCCAGGGATTGCCCGGGCTGCTGATAACATTTCCTCTGGTGCTTTTGAGTAGGAGAAACTCCTGATGGTTACCTCTTATCCCTAGCGCACGGCCCGGTCAACGAGGCGCTCCCCCTCGCTGTTGAAAGTCTGGGTTCCACCTAGAAGAGAAGAATGCCGGATAGCCCGCAGCTCCATCCCTATCGTTGACTTCGCTTTCGCTGGGCAAGTTGGCATGGCCAGTTCTTGAACCGACTTTCCGAGCAGATGGAGCCTGCGAGGTTGGGGTTCCCCGGGAAACGGCGGCCGATGGAGGCATGGACGAAGGGTCAGAGCTGACTGAAGTGACTGACCACTTGCTCCTTGTCGTTGTCATTGTGCTTGTCGTCGGCTTAGCGAGACATTTTGCTGTCTTGAGCTGAGCGAAAGGGAAGTGAATAACAAACCACGAACTCCACAGGATAAGGGCGCAGTCTGGCGTTGGGCACAGACCGCCGGCTCATCCCTTCGGACATGACCAGTTGGCCGACGAACAGCATGCACCGCGTGATCCATTCTCCGCGGGTTGACTGGATCGAACCTAATTTTCCCTCTATTATCTCGTAACATCCCCAACAACGAGAACGAGTTGGCAGCCGAACAGGCGCTGGCGGTCCACCTGGCATGCCCGTCAACTGTTCGGCACTTTGGCCGTAACGCAGCGGAACATGGTCAACCCGAATTCCGCATGCTCTCATTATTCAACATGTCATCGTCAATCATCTCCGTACTTGACGGGATTCTGAGAGTGACAAGAAAGAGGAGAGTTGCTCACAACAGAGCTGACCCACTTGCAGTCGTGGGCACGTGTCGAGCGTCGCCAGTCTTTACGCGAGTGGAGCTCCCGCTCCGCGACGCTTTTCCAACCCACAGACCACTGGTGTCCTCGCAACAAGATCTCGCGCCAGCTAGCCAGGGAAATGCATCGTTCTTCGAGGGTCGAAGAGCGTTGCGCTCGGATAATCGAGAGTCATCGCATAAATGGATGCGCACGGTCCAGCGAAACAAGTGCGGGTGTAAGTGCGGGAGAACCAACTCTCTCGGTCACGATGTTCTGCCTAAAGGGCGGGCGTCGCTTCCGCTCAATGGATCCGCTATACGACGAAGACACTCGAACATCTAGAGATGCGCACGCAGCGCGAGCACGGAAGCTCGTAACGGTGCACGCTGACCCTGGGGCTGGTACCCCGCTTGGGTTGAGGGGTGCCAGTGCCTCGTTTTGCAGAGTTGTGCAGAGTCGGGAATTCGTCGTTTTCGTTCAGTGGGCTCATGAGGTTCCAAGAATGTCGACGGTCGCACGGCCTCATGCTGACTTTCCCGCCCCCACGACGCTCCTGGTACACCTCAGCTGATCATCGCCCCCCACGTCGCGTCCGACACGCCCGAAGCCTGCGCCCAACGAGCCATCAAGCTCGACAGCTGACCCCGCGGGTTAGGCACATCATCTTGGCTCCGGTGCCTTCATTAGGGGATCGTCGACGCTTTCCGCACTTTCCGCACCTCAACACCTGTCATTTCCTCTTATCCCCTCCCACGAGAGGCAGTGGGTCGTGTGCGATGATGATCTGGCCCGGCTGCGCCTTGTCTGAGGGTGGGAGAGGCAGAGAAGAAAGGAGGGGCGAGGATCAGCAAAGAGCCGTGGAGGCGCAGTGGGTTGCTTGGTCACCTGTTGTGAGTTCCGCAGTCAGGCTCATTGTCAAGCAACGGTGGACACGGCATTGTTGTAATGGTGCAGGGTTGTGTATAGGGGAGTAGCGTTCCATGAGCATGGGGTCGACCGTTACGCGAGCTGCTACATATCACTGACGGAGCTGACGACCAAACTTCAGCTGCCGAGTACGTCACTCCAACACCCTTTGCTCCCCGTTTGTCTGCAGCTCACAGGCATCAGCCCCGCTCTAAACCTATCCAAGGACTTTGTCACGCCAATCCTGAGCTTTGTGGGTATGCCGCTTGACTCTCGACGTCCTGGGATCGTGCCTCACAGCTCTGGGCAAGTCTTTCCAAAGATTGCGGAGCACAAATCGCACGCCTGCTCTCTCTTGCCCCTCCGGACTCTCATACCCACGGACGAGATCGGCACCTGCGCTGGACAGCTATAGCACGAAACAGCGGAAGGAAATCGAGGAGGTCTCTCTGCGTAGGAAGCTCTCAGCAGGGCATTTTCTCCACAGAGTTGCCCAACGTTGAGAAACTTTCGAAACGCCTCACTGGCTACTAGAAGCCACTCCACTGAAAGCGTTTACCTCTATCAGAGGGAATGCGAAACGCCCCCTGCTTCGCAAAGCTGACTGACGAGGACAAGTACTTACGTTTTCATCGAATCCTCTCTTAGCCTACTCACGGCATAATATAATGTGCCCAGCCTTGGTCGTTTTTCGATAGATTTCCGCTGCAACCCTCCCAGTGATACCTTCTGCTGCCAAGGTCCCAGGTAAGTATAGTCTCGAATGGCAGTGTGCTGCACTATATGCTTGGTGACGGCTGGGATCGGTGACACCGGACACAGGTGCTGTGGTGTCGTCTGACTACTGCCCTATCCCTCGCAAGATCAGCGGTAGCACACTGCCACTCGTGAGCGTTATTTTACGCATGGGAAACACACACTTGCAGATCTCAGCGTCTCCCACCCCTCCCTCTTCCGAGCGAGAGCTACGCTGCGCCTCCTCGTCATGCGCTGCCATGCTAATTGGTCGTAACTCGGCAGGATTACATTCATATCCTGCGAGAGTATCAAGCGTTACACTTCCAGCAAGCCACACCGAGCAGTCGGCGTCGTCGGCCAGCGATCGGCATGGCGGCGTACTCCTTCTTCCCGAAGGCTGGAACCAGTGGGTCCTCGGCGTGCACCTACACCCTCCTTTCGCCTCTGGCACCGGTGTTTACTCCGATTGTGTGCCATCAAAAGTCAGCATTGAATGGCATTCAAAGCGACCTTTGTCCTCGACGTTTATTACCGACGTTAACCTTTGCTGCCTGTTGATTCTCGCCGCACGCCGTGCGCCGTGCCTCGGCGAGTACCCAGGCGACGCAGCCAACTCCCACGTACCGCACCGTGAAAGTTTACGATCGGCACTCCACACAGCTCTCAATTCCAGCTGAACCTAACCTGATTCGGTCACAGGAACGCGATCAGCTCTTCGCGTCGGGTGATACGTGGTCAACAATGGTCGTGCGACGTCAATGACACGCACGTCTCTGTTGAGTTAACAAATTAAGTAAGCTGTGGGTTGTTGCGACATGTCGAAGCGACAACGATAACGACAACGGCAACGACGCTGCTGGCCCTCTTCACCAGTTGTAAGACCAAGGCACCACAGAGATGGCGACACCTGCAACCCCCGTATGGAATGAGGAGCAGAGAACTCACGATTCAGAGATGGCGCTCAGTGCAATCTAATGATTCTGAAGACCGATTGTCGTCAGCCATTGTCGCGGCAGCTAATGTGCACAGCGAGCTCAACTGGATAACCAAGCCATTGAGAAGAAGCCAACATTCCTGAGATCACTGCACAACTAGACCTCTCCGCTCCCACCCGCCGGTGTGCGGCGAACCGAAGCTCTAATCTGTGCACGTTACAGGATCGCTGCCCCGCTGCATCAGGTTCTTCACGTCACCGCGGGCATATTGCTGGAAGCTCGTTTGGAGCTGGCCCTCTGTCAACGTGTGGGCCGGTTAGTGCTACTCCAGTGTGGACTGACGGGAGCTCGCTGAGCAGACGATGGGCTCCTACACAACGTAGCATACGAAGAACTTGAGGTCGAACCCCACCCTCTCCCTTCATGCTCCCCCACAACCTCACCATATGCACTTACCTTTATCATTCCCAAAAGCTGAGAGATGCCGAAGCGGATGAGCAGCAACACTTGTTACCAACTCCCAAGCAACTGGCCGCCATATTCCGTTGCCGCGAGCAGATCTCCGTTCGGACTTCCGGTCGCAGTCCAAACCTGACCAAACCAGGCATGACTCCCGATCGCCATGTCCGTCTGCCCTTCCGGCCATGGTCTTCTGATCGCCGACACAATTGTCACAGATGTGGGAACCAAACTACCTCATCACATCACAGCTCCAGACGGGGACAGCGGGCCTTAAGGCTAATCAGCAATCGGACTCGCCTCACATCAAAACGTGTGAACCTCGTTACGGTGAATGACCCCCTGCATGCGAGCGGCGAGCGGGCTCAACGCCGTCGCCGCTTGCCCGGCACATCTGGCCTGCCTGGCCCTGCGACCTCCACACTGGGGATGCCGGAAGCCATGCCGGCTGTCTCAGACACGGGAAGGCTCGTTTCGCACGATCCCTCATTAAGAGTCAGGATAAGAAGGGGTCGTCCCAGTCTTCACAGCGTTCCCAGCGGCCAGTTTGGGCCGTCCCACTGAAACTTTCCGCTCATCGTGATCATGCTACCACCCCATGTTGACTGACACTCGAACCAACCTCACATCAGAGGGCATGCGACGATATGACGAAGGTGGAGAGGGGAGGTGCAATGTAAACACCTGATGCCGGCATTGGAACGAATCGAAGGCGGACGGAAGGCGGCGTAGGCTGTGCGTATGCCCACTCAAGCTCGACGCGAGGGCTGTGCGCAATCCCCCCGTGCCCCCCCTCCGCCCGTACCTCCGACGCCGAAGGGGCGTGTGGCGCCACATCCCACTCCGTTGGGTCCTTTGGACTTCGGAGGGCCTCAAGTCATGACTCAGCAGCCTCTACACCGTCCATCACTGGCTGATGCTGATCAGTGATCCCCACAGCATTAGTGACGGGCCATCAATTAAACTTCTAGGCGGCAGATGCTTATCTTCCAGTGGCCCCACTCCAATCCACGACGACCGTACTTATCACAAAAACGCTCGCGACCAAGGGCGAAAGCGGCCATGCACACTGCCGGGCACTCATCGCCCACAAACTGCTTCACCGCTCACAGCGGTCACACCCATATCGTGGTACCAATTTCATAAAATTTCGTATACAAGATCATGACAAAGAGACACGAGATAAGGAGCTCGAGGAAAACGAAGAACAGAGCGAAGCGAAGGGTGGCGCGATCCGATGCTGGTCGGGATGAGGTCGATGCGGATGCGAGTGTATGTTTGTTTGTTTGCTTGCCGTGTCGCTAATGTTACTGATGGGGGAAGGTGTCTGAAGTGTCCGTATGTGTTTGCTGTGCTTGTCTGTATGCTGCTCGCGGCCTTACGGGGCCGCACACGCCTTTTGGAATACTGTTAACGGCCGCGGACCGGGCCTATCGCCTGCCCTCGACTTCGCCGCGCCACGGCCACTGGGCTGCGGGGTGAGGACGCATGTCCCAGCGCTGATCCCGCTCGTGATGAGGAGGGGGAGGCGGGCCGGCGTGAGGCGGGCCGTGGGGGTGGGGCGGAGGCGGCATCGGCATCTCGCGAGGGTCGCGTGGGTCTCGTGGAACTTCGCGGGGGTCACGCGGGTCGCGGAGCTCGGGGCGGAGGTCGATACGGGGCGACACTCGAGGCGAGTAGTACGGCAGCTCGCGAGGCGAAAGACGCACAGAGCGAGGCGAGAGGCGCGCACGAGGCGACAGCCTCGGGTCCGCGCGGGGGTCAGCACGGGGATCACGGGGGTCCATCGCACGAGGATCGCGAGGGTCAATGGCTCGCGGGTCACGGGGGTCGACGCAGCGCGGGTCCACCGTCCTCGGATCCCGAGGGTCGACAGCACGAGGGTCGACGGCCCGAGGATCCCGGTGGTCAACAGCGCGAGGATCGACGCGCGGGTCGATAGGACGAGTATCCCTGGGGTCGCGCTCGCGGGGGTCGTAAAGTTCCGGCCTGCGTCCTCGAGGAGACTCCATCTCTCGCGGATCACGGTGCATGGGCGGCTCGCGAGGATCACGGTCTTGCCATTCCTGGCGCCACCACTCAATGGGTGCCGAGCGCGGGCTGCGAGGGCCATAATACTCTGGTGGGGGCGGGGGAGGGGGCGGCGCATGCGCCGAGTGCAGCGGGTACGGCTCGTGCCTCGGCGAACGAGGCGGGTATGGGTAGCGGGGATACTCACCCCAACCCGGAGGCTGCTGCCTGAGCAGGCCGTCCTCTAGCGAAGTCCTGCGCGCGCGACCGGCACGTCCTGGCATTGGACCACGCTTTTTCTGCGTTGCGCTGTACTTGCACTCACGGCCGGATTCGCGGCATCGGGAGCACACTCCACCTCCTCCAGGCTGGCCACCAGCGTCACACCTGACCTTGCGCTCGCGACAGCCGTTGCACGCCTTTGTCGTACGCGAGATCGGAGCACGCGCCCCGGTCTCGAAAGGAATTGCATGCGATGCTTCGTAGAACGGTGCAGGACCGTGAAGCGGCGGCGGCGGGTAAGGGTGGCCTGTGTGAGTGGGAGGGCCTGGAGGGCTATGCTGAGGAGGGGAGAAGTAGTCAGACGGAGGAGGGCCGGGCTGGTAGCTGTGTCGTCGGTCAAGGCCGCCCTTGTAGTATCCTGGCGGAGGAGGCGCGATGGGAGCCGTAATGGGGCGATGGTCGCGGGGCGCAGGCGGAGGGTAGAACCCCGATCGCATCTCACCAGAATGAGAGTGAGCATGGTAGTGGGGCGGAGGAGCGGGGTACTCGTGGTGAGGAGTAATAGGCAGAGGATGGGAAGCCGGTGTGGCACCAGTGCTCGGGTGGTCCTTCTCTGTCGGAGACTGACGGCTGCTGCCGCCATTGAGGAGGGAAGAGATAGAGCGGCGTTCCATGCTCGGCCGGCCGTCGGGCCGGTCGAGTGCAAGCGGGGGCGGGGGTTGCCGGCGCTGAGAGTGCTGCGATTTGACGTCGAACTCGAAGGACATGTCGACGTCAAGCGGGGTGCGCGGCGAGCCGGGGGAAGAGCTACCTGTCGAAGCGGAGTTGCGGGGGCGCTGAGGGCGGCTATCGGGGTTCAGAAGAGCGGAGAGAGGCGGGAGCGATGCGCTGGCTGTTGCTGCTGGAGCCATGATACAGAGATACGGAGTGATGAGATGTAAAGACGAGACAAGAGACGAACGGAGAGAGCGGTCCCTTGGTCGACTACGACTTGCTACGCTGATCTACTGCGAGACTGGGCTTGCGGAGGATTCAGGCGGGCGTTCGGGCGTACGAGGTGGACGTGCGAACGGGCACACAGCTCGGACTCGGATGCGCTCCACACAGGCCGCACACACAGTACACGGAGGTGGTGGGAAGGCTGATAGGGCTGGCGTCTAAGGCTTGCAGGCCTGAGGTCCGCTTCAGGTAGGAGGGAAGCCAGGTCGTCAGGAAATCTCAACGAGGCGTTTCGTATGAGTTACTCCAGCCAGGAGCACTCGACACCACAGGTCCACAAGGCGCCAGGCCAAAAATGAATAGAGTCCGGTGGCTTTTCTGATACTCTCGCGTTGCTTGCGGCCCCGTCTCCTTGCGATTGGGCGTACCGGCGCGATCGCAGAGGAATCACTACTTCGCAGTCGCGATCGCAGCCGAACGGAGCACCGACTGAATGCTCTCAAGCTGCACGATGCGATGACACACCGCACGATTCAACTACGTTGTGCACTCGTAGCCGTCACAAATGCAGTTCGAGACTCGACGTCAGCGATCCCAGGCTCCACAGGGTCTGCAACGTTGCGCGCCGGAACCCGACAGATTATGAGGCTTGGAGGGCTTGCTTCGAGGCGCCGATGGCTGAAGTGCTGAAGCGGGCTGAGAGGGCTGAGAGGCTCTGGGCGCCGAGGGGAAACCGTCTCGTCGATGAAGGGTGGGCAGAAGATTCGAACACAGTGCGAGAACAGGTTGATGAGGCTGATTAGATGCCAGGGGTAGATCTTTGACTTGCAGGGTCTGATGTGATCGTGCCGCCGGGGCGACAGTGCTGCGCGAGGCTTGTCGGAAACACGGAGGTAGAGCTGTCGGGGGCGCCGTGTGTTGTATCGGGTTGGCACGAATGCTAGACCAACGCAAGCTTCGGGGCCGGGCTCGCAGGCGATACGAACGAGTGACAAGATTGGCGTCTATCGACGTGGGCTGTGGGACGGTGGTGCCGAAGACTATGTGTTAAGGGGTAGATAGGAGGCGAGGACTGCTGTTGGACGGTCGAGTCGGACGTGATGCAGTTTCCAAAGTGAGACCCCCTTAGGTGAGCGCAATGTTGAACTATCCCAGTGATGTGGATGCACCAGAGATGATCACAAAGCAAGAACGAAGCAAGCTTGAATGCTTGAGGTTGTTACTTTGGAGCGATTGGCTTGAGTCGGGCACGAGATGACTGCCTGGACTAGCTTGTCCTAGGTGCACTCGATACCAGCGTCGGGTCTCTAGTGAGAGCCCTTTATTTGGTAAACTGAGTTCTTTTGGGATTATTCAAACAATGTCGCCGGTGGCGTCGCACGTACAGGGCCCTCTGTCCTGCAGGTCCGGTCGGTCCTGAGAGTCCTGAAGTGTCCTGATGAGTATGAGCTTATACCTTGGATCCTGGCTGGTGTGTAATGTCGACAGACGTTACGCAACCTTGGCCGATGTCGCTAAATGACTGAATAACGGTGTCGCCGATTGTGTGGATTGTTGGGTTGACACCCATCAGCCGTCCCAGGCGAGAGGCGAGCTAACGGCCCTGCCGCCCATCAGCGCTAGATGCTTAGCCGCTAGGCCATCCGGATGGGTCGGATGCGTAGGGAGCTGCAAGTTCAGGATCCTCCCAGGATAGTGAGGAAAGCGTCGACGGCACAGATGATAGACGACTAGGGGCTTAGCAGCTCCCCAGGTTCCACAGATCGGACAGGAGCACCCACAGCCTTACGGCCTAAAGTGCAGGAAGCTCTGCGGGACACGCAGCATGCGCAGGATCACAAAACAACAGGGACAGTGTAGAAGACCCAGGAAGTTCCAGGCTGCAACCCAGTGCTGGGTTAATGGCGCGTATTCTCCTAGCCGCCCAGCCCAGCTGCACAAGCTTGCTCCCCATCCTGCCCCCTAGGAACGGTCGGAGTATATGAAGACAGCGAAGAACTTCATCGCGTTGCTGTCCCAGGGACGGCAGTTGCGAAGGATCGATCCCTTTGGGCCTTGGACCCTGACATTGTATTGAGCAGGATGCAGGAAGGTAAGGTGTCAAGGCGAGGTGCGCAGGCAATCGCGGGCGAGCAGCAGCGTTGCCATCGCGGTTGCGCGGTTGGGACGGTGAGAAGGCCGATGGGGCCTGAAGCCGCCCGCATCTTCTAGGTGCAGGCCAGTTCTCCGGCAGCCCGCACTGATCAAGGCACGACGGTACGAGGGCACGAGACGTTGACGGAAAACGTAACGGGCCATTGACCCAAGGATTTTGAAGACGAGGCGGCCTCCCATCCCTCCAAGGATCAAGGAACCAAACTTGACGGCCGGGGTGAGTGTTGGCCGCAGGCATGGCTGTGAAGCTGCAAGCGGGCCATGCGGCGAGAGGTGCCAGGCCCTTTCGGGAAGAACAGCACGGCTAAGCAGGGCCAGGCCCGCTGTGGCATGCTGCCTTGCAGCCCATGCGTCAGACGTGCGCGGGCATGGGCTGGTGCATGCTTTCGGTTGTGCGCCGATTTGTCGCCATCCGCCCGCTGTGCAGGGGGCTGACTCGCTTGACTGACTGCTGCTTGTGCTGAATGCGGGCGCGGCTGAGGCTTGCCTCGGTGAGCTCGGTGCTTATGGGTGATATACGTGGGGTCATTATGAAGCACCGGGTGGCGTCAGTCATGCGCAGCGTCGTACTTGCTCGGCAGCTGCTTACTTCTGCTTGTCCGAGTTGCGGCCTGTGCGCGGCACTCGCCGGATGTTCATATGCTCCGGGCTCTGCCGACCAGGGAGTGAATGAGTGAATGTGGTGTTGGGGTCAAGAGCAAGGGTGGTGGCGTGGAAACGAGACATGTCTCGCCGACAACCTGACGCACTGAAGCACCTGAACTTCTCTTACCTCAACGGATAAAGAGCGCAGATGAACCTGAACAAAAGACGCGACAGCGGTGAGCGCGGTCTGGTGTGCGATGTCCAGTCAGCTAGGGTCAAGGAACCTGGGACATGGTCCTTGGATGTCCTGAACCCCTATGATAGGGTATGCTGGCGGTCACCCACAGTCGCTAGCTGTAGTGTTGCTGTTGACTCCACATTTGCTTCAGTTGGAAAAGACGCAGTGCCCCCGAACACAAGTTGCGGCTGATTGACTGCGATTGCATTGAGCAGGCTGGAGATTTGCCAGTTTACCCAGATGGAGCCCAGGTGCAATTAGCTTTAGTTGTTCAGCCCTAGGGACGAAATGAACCGTAAAGTTGCTCCTATACACGCGTGTCACGACCGCACTGAACATCACCTTCTGCAGTTCTAGATCACAGGTAACACATACCCGATGACGCTAGAGCTCAAACGTTAGTCACTCTTAACTGTTCCGGGGTCCCAGGGGGGTATCCGATGCAAGTGACACAAAAGTGCGTCGCGTGGACGGTGGAATGACCCGCCGAAGAGAGTGAAGGGTATCGACCCCGTGCTCGTGTGCGTTGTAGTGTCAAAGTTGCCTGGCAACCCAGTAGCCTCGGGCCTGTCGCCGCGCTGCACAGCTGGCGGGTCTACGTTAACCCAACAGTTACAAATTGCAGCATATTCCAATTTCATCAATTCGGGACCCCCTGCTCCCCCTTGGTGTGGCGTCCGACATACCTCAAAACACTGAAAATGCGGCCCTTGGTCAAATGGAGCTCTCAGCACCCCAGGCCCCAAACAAGCGCCCATGAGTGGGAGCGCCGGGATCGTCAGCGGCCAACGGGCTAAAGAGGCCAGCATAGATCGAAATTGGGTGCAGGGTTCCAGAGTATCCTTGCAATATCCTAACAGTCTCCATCGACCACAGCCGGCATTTAAGGTTTAGACTCCCTTGACTAACTCCATATTTCCCCTTGTGTCGTAATCTGGGACTATCTTCTTCTGGACCACTCGGATAGTTTGAAATCGTGCATTACAGCTTTGAAGCCCTTCGACGCACTTTAACCTTACTCCCCACTTGGAATCACCTCACTATCCAAGCTTTGAACGGTGAACCATCCTCGTCTCGCTCCCGTCTGGGTTTATGCAAAGCTCACGTTCCTGATTATCTTGCGCATGGCGCGCGCAACGGACCCCGACGCGCTAGTCAGGACTGTCTGGAGGCGCATACCAGGTATCAACCTGTTCAGTCGCCTCATGCACAGACCAAGACCATCGTGCTGATCCTCATAGCATCCCAACTACTCAACTGGTTCTGGCTGGCAGTAGCAAGCTACACAAACCTGTCGCGATGCTGAGGAGGCGGAAAACCAGAAGAACTGCGTATGCTCTGATCGGTGTTTTGCCGTCTCTGTGCACAGATCACCACTGTGATCGCTGTCGGACGCCGCTAGCTCGCCAGAGTCCTTCCTAGTGCAGTCACAGGCTGTGCTCTTAGGAGAGAGATCTAGCTTAGTGCGCAGGCTAACGGCTCAGTGTTCCGATTGCTTCGCCTTTACTTGTGCTTTCCGTCCCTGGTGGTAAGATCCACAGACTTACAGATGTCCGATTAGCAACTCGGTCTGCGGGGATCTTGGGCATCTTCATTCCACTCTAAATGAAGTCACTGGCGCTAGCCAAAGGAAATGCGGCACATAACGCTTCGTCACTCCAAAGAATTTGAAGAATCGAAAGGAGATTATGCGAAACACTGCGCCAGGCAGAGCACCCACCGAGCATTCACGACAGCGCGAGGCCGCCTGTCGAGCTGCAGACGCACATGAGGCCGCGAGGTGGCTGCGATCTTTGACAGAGCGCATGGAAGCGCCACGGATAGGACGGCCGGTGCAGCCAAGGCCCGGTTAGCGCAACAAGCTCCGTGGAGTAATTCAGATAGTGTGCTCTCTCTCGAATCTCAGACAGCGTTTCAACGCCCAGCGCCCGGCGCCACTAAATTCAGACGTATGAGACGCCTTCGCATGGCACCACATGCTGCATACCTTCTGTG